CTTCTCTACTGAGACTCTGTAATAGAACCACTGATATGACCAATGCCAATAAACCATGATAAAAGAGATCTGATCACTGATCTATATATATGTCATGTAAATGGATCAATATTGACTTCAGAATTTGCATTCAGAATAGTGTTTTATTGGGGGTTTTTTTGCTTGCAAACAAACATAGTTTGTCAACATTTTTATAGCAAACACAATACAATTAAAATGCATTGCCAATTACTGACAGGCTATATATTTGTGACAAATTGTAGGAGGTTGTAGGTCATGTGATAACCTTTCAGTTTAAATAGGTTTATGCTTGCATGTGTACTATATCATACTTTAGAAATTAGAACACAGTTTTAAATACAGCATGAGCTAGCAAGGAGCACAACACTGGTAAATGTGTTTTGTTGTGAATATCCTTTTGCTGATCTAGTGGTCTTGTACACAACAGTAACAAAGTTATCATATTGTCAGGTATTACTGTAAAAAAGAAAAATGTAGAAAAGTAGCAGTGTAGCGATACTCTATGTGATGAGTTGATTACTACTTCCTTTGTTTACGTGTTTTGTTAACATATATACAATAAAAAAAGTTGTCAAGTAACCAAGTAATCCAAGTCAAATAACATTATGGTTTGTCACGAAAGATCTGAAATTATCCTGTAAACAACAGAATATGTTTTCATAACAATACATCATGTTTATTTCAATGTAAATGAAGAATTCATAAAGCACAAACAGGTTCTTTTTAAAAATATATAATGCAGACATTGTCTTAATCTGGCCAAACACAGCACATACTGCTAACAAAAGAAGCATATTATTAAATATGCTTCTGTATTTGAGCATAATGGGAGAAACTCACCATGTTTTGGTTGTTTGGATCCAGGGGTTTCCTGGCAGCTGCTCGGACTCTCTCTCTCTCATCCACTTACCTCCATCACAGCAGAGATGCTGCACACCTGCAGCTGTCTGACCACTGAGCAGAATGCAACTCTGGATTTTCACTCCACAAAGAGACAATAAGGTCAGCAGTGGAGCAAAGAATGAACCCTTTGTTTTGTTTTGTCTCAGTTATCAACATTAATACAGTAGGTTTTAAATGTTCAATGGGAACAGCTGGAAATATTACCAAAGAACAGATCATTGTGATCATAGTGTATTTGTGAATTTAGTGATTTCATGAGTTTATGTGCCCATATAATCTTAGTGTAAGTGGTAAACAGATTTGGCTTGCTGTCTGCTATAGAGGGGCTCAGAGAGGATATTCTACTCGAGCTCAGATTGCCCCCTATAACAGGCAAAATTGTACAAAAAAGGAGAAGGGGAGGAGGAGGGATGCCGAAAGAACTAACAACGGGAAGGGGTAAGAAGCTGGTTTTGGACCTTGGTATTAAGTGGAAGATTAGATGGGTGCACTCCTCTTGAAATTACGTTTAATAACTTCACTTCTTTAAATATATCACTGAGAGAGACAATGTGTCAGATGCTTTGACAGAAATCATCCTCCCTTAATGAAAGGGTTTTTAAATTATTTTTAACAAATACAAAATATGCACATCCAATACCCAGACTTGGGCTCAGGTGCAGGACAAATCACATTGAACAAAAACAAAAGGTTATATGTCTACACACTGAGATTCAAAAATGTTTATTAAACAGCACAACGTTTTGCCCAGGAACAATTAGTTATGCTATATCTATTATTATTTCATCTGCATGTGCCCTTAAATTTACATTTATTCATTTAGTAGACTCTTTTATCCAAAGCAATATGAGGTGTTATTCACTTATTGACCTCAAGGTTCTAAATAAATAAGAGCATTAATGCCAAAATAAAGTTATTTTACAAGATTTGCTGAGTTCCTCGTCTAGAGTCTCCTGCAGCTCTTTATAGCTCAATGAAGTGCTCCAGCTCTTCAGTCTGCTTCTTCTGCTTCTGCTCCATCATCTCCTGCAGCTCAGACTGACATCTCTTAATGGATCACATCAGATCAGTGAAGAGCTCAATACTGTCAGCTTTCTCTGATGCACTTTATCTTAGACTCAGTTTTCTGAGTGTTTCATGTGTTGTGTTGTGTTGTATTCTCTTCATTCTGTCCTGGATAAACTTTTCATCTTTATCAGCAGAGGCAACAGACACAACAGAATAAACAGAGTTCAGATTCAACCCTATTCGAACACCTGATCCAGCTAATCAAGTCCGTCAGGCTTATTTGAAAACTAAATGTTAAATGTGTGTAGGAACAGGGTTGGCCCTGCAGGAACTGAGTTTGACACCCCTGACTTAGAAGGTAGATAGTGACCTCTCGTGGTGAGTAAGAGATACTGCATGAGCAGATATAGTACAGTGCTGCTTTTGGATAAGGGATAATTTAACTCGTCAAAAGAAGCATATTATTAAATATGCTTCTGTATTTGAGCATAATGGGAGAAACTCACCATGTTTTGGTTGTTTGGATCCAGGGGTTTCCTGGCAGCTGCTCGGACTCTCTCTCTCTCATCCACTTACCTCCATCACAGCAGAGATGCTGCACACCTGCAGCTGTCTGACCACTGAGCAGAATGCAACTCTGGATTTTCACTCCACAAAGAGACAATAAGGTCAGCAGTGGAGCAAAGAATGAACCCTTTGTTTTGTTTTGTCTCAGTTATCAACATTAATACAGTAGGTTTTAAATGTTCAATGGGAACAGCTGGAAATATTACCAAAGAACAGATCATTGTGATCATAGTGTATTTGTGAATTTAGTGATTTCATGAGTTTATGTGCCCATATAATCTTAGTGTAAGTGGTAAACAGATTTGGCTTGCTGTCTGCTATAGAGGGGCTCAGAGAGGATATTCTACTCGAGCTCAGATTGCCCCCTATAACAGGCAAAATTGTACAAAAAAGGAGAAGGGGAGGAGGAGGGATGCCGAAAGAACTAACAACGGGAAGGGGTAAGAAGCTGGTTTTGGACCTTGGTATTAAGTGGAAGATTAGATGGGTGCACTCCTCTTGAAATTACGTTTAATAACTTCACTTCTTTAAATATATCACTGAGAGAGACAATGTGTCAGATGCTTTGACAGAAATCATCCTCCCTTAATGAAAGGGTTTTTAAATTATTTTTAACAAATACAAAATATGCACATCCAATACCCAGACTTGGGCTCAGGTGCAGGACAAATCACATTGAACAAAAACAAAAGGTTATATGTCTACACACTGAGATTCAAAAATGTTTATTAAACAGCACAACGTTTTGCCCAGGAACAATTAGTTATGCTATATCTATTATTATTTCATCTGCATGTGCCCTTAAATTTACATTTATTCATTTAGTAGACTCTTTTATCCAAAGCAATATGAGGTGTTATTCACTTATTGACCTCAAGGTTCTAAATAAATAAGAGCATTAATGCCAAAATAAAGTTATTTTACAAGATTTGCTGAGTTCCTCGTCTAGAGTCTCCTGCAGCTCTTTATAGCTCAATGAAGTGCTCCAGCTCTTCAGTCTGCTTCTTCTGCTTCTGCTCCATCATCTCCTGCAGCTCAGACTGACATCTCTTAATGGATCACATCAGATCAGTGAAGAGCTCAATACTGTCAGCTTTCTCTGATGCACTTTATCTTAGACTCAGTTTTCTGAGTGTTTCATGTGTTGTGTTGTGTTGTGTTGTGTTGTATTCTCTTCATTCTGTCCTGGATAAACTTTTCATCTTTATCAGCAGAGGCTACAGACACAACAGAATAAACAGAGTTCAGATTCAACCCTATTCGAACACCTGATCCAGCTAATCAAGTCCGTCAGGCTTATTTGAAAACTAAATGTTAAATGTGTGTAGGAACAGGGTTGGCCCTGCAGGAACTGAGTTTGACACCCCTGACTTAGAAGGTAGATAGTGACCTCTCGTGGTGAGTAAGAGATACTGCATGAGCAGATATAGTACAGTGCTGCTTTTGGATAAGGGATAATTTAACTCGTTATCATTCAAGGCCAAGGCACTCAAGGATAAGTAAATTATAAAAATGGTTTATTTTCCCCGTTCAACTACAGGGTCACTTAAGAGCCATTTTGGTTTCTTTTATTTTCTTCTTTTAGCTAAATTATTAACAGTTGTGCACACATTAAATGCTCCATTTCAACATAATATTCAGGAACAGGAATTAAGAATGGTTTAAGTTATAGCTGAGCAAATAACTTTATTAAAGCCTTGTGGTAGAACACCAAAAACACAGTCCACATGTAAATCTAGAATAATTTTGTTCAGTAGCATAACATATACTAGAGAGCTGTCATTCTTGGTTTATAAAGAACTTTTACAAGAGAAAACATTGAAAACACTGATGAAACTTTGGTAAGAAGAACTCTGTGAGCAGTTTTGAAAAAGTGACCTAAGTATTGAGAAATGGGTCGTAGCAATTGTATAAAAAATTATTTAAAAAATAGAAAAAAAAAAGATTTTGAGGGCCATTTTGTCTTGACTTTTTCCAATTTATTACATTTGACTATCTGTGTGATGATAATCTATCAGTAGAAAAAGGTCTGTCCCAAAGCTATCTTGATAAATAAAACAATGTATGTGCATTATATTATAATTAAACCACATTGCCTCTTATTTATTAGAAATGTTATGCCAAGTTGTTTCACCTATAGCTACTACCTGACATACTGTTACAACATATGGATATTATAGACAGTGACTTGACCTACTGACAGTCTTAATAAAAAAACAATGAGCATCTTTTATATACTGTCACAACCCTTGATATGTTTAATAGATTTTATTAAGTAAAATATTTAAGCATTAAATAATGCACATACATTTATTAATAAACTGTTTATTATATATTTTAATAATTTAATAAACATCAAATGTTTTGTCATACATATCATACCCACTGCAAGCCAAAATATATTTATAAATAAGTTATTATAAATGATTAAAATGAATGCTAAACATTGGTGCTGTTCATCTGAATGAAACAATATGCTACACAGTACATATTGTGTGAGGTTAATTGTGTATGGAAATGCTTACTACACCTCTAAAGGTTTTACCATCTCTTATTTTGTGCTTATTACAAACCAAAATGCCACAAAAGGCGTAATATTTAAGAGCATTATAAAACTTTTCATCTCGTAATCCATAAACTAAGGGACTCAGACAACGAGGCAAGATCAAAAACAAAATGAAATTTGAGTATCTTACATTCACAAATAGCATGACATTTACTTTCCATAAAGGCATTTCTATGTAAGGGATTAAAAGCTGCATCATACACAGAAGCAGCTGAACACCATGGAGAATTATAGTTTTGAGACCCTTATTTGTTGAGTTTTTCCTCTCTGAGGAGGCAGATCTGGCCGCCAACACAATCTTGATGTAGGTGGAGACAATAATACACAACATCATGATGAATAAGAGCTGCAGACTCGTCGCTCTCATGTCTGCCAGCCATTTTACCTGTAACATGGCCTCCACTGTACACACAACATAAAGGCGCAAGACACCAGGAGGAATATAGACAAAACAGACTATGAAAATAAACAATGGGATGATAAAACTGACACTCCATATGACAAGAATCCCAATGAAGGTGTTTTTAGGGGTGGAGATACTGGAATGTCTTAAAGGCATACATATGGCTACATAGCGCTCCAAACACATGGCTACAAGAGTCATGGGTGAAACAACAGAGACCAAAGATGTAAGTGTGCAGAAGATATAGCAAGGAATTATATGCACAGGGTACTGGTAAAACGACCCCATGAGGGTTAAATCAGTCAACAGCATAAGAGCAGAGTCAGCAAAAAGAGTCTGAGCAAACAGAATGTAGCGTGTTTCCCTGAAGGTCTCTTTCTTCAGAAAGGTGAAAATCATCAGTCCGTTTACATACAGAAGTATCCCCACCAGTACCTGCACCAGCAAAAGCTTCTCATTTCCTTTGTTCAAACTAGACGTGCTGTTCAAATTGTTGATTTTGGTTACGTTCATCTTGACAGCAAAACTTAGCCATAAAAAAACCTCATGAAGTCAGAAGGTGTGAGTTGTGATGTACCTCAAGGCAAATAGAATGAACCTCCTAACTCTCTCCTCCTCCCTTTGTGCTGTTTTTATAGAGCTTTAGATGGGCTGAGCCTTATTTTGTTTACAGAATTTCATATGTCATCAGTGCAGATGTTTCTATAATCGCAGTGCTGATTTCATCATTTGGCATGAATCTGACAGCAAAAACGTAAAATTTTAGATTTAAAGATGATATTGTGTGTGAGTGTTTTTTTTAGGCCTATAGAACCAAATCAAATAATCCAGTGTCATTAACATCATACTGTAGTTTAGCTTTACTGTAACAAAAAGGGAAAAATATACTGAATACTTTTAGGAAAATTCAGGCATTAAATCTGTTGTAGAAAATAGCCATGTTTTTTCTCTCTTTTTTGGGCCAGCACCCCCTATCCATTATCTGTGATAATTAAGCAATATTGACTCCAGTCGTTGAATTATTGCAAATTACACAACACCTAGCCTACTTCTGGTCCTCGAATCCGAGGTCAGGTTATTTTACTAAACCTGATGATGGAGTGGAACAGCATTTGACTCTTTATAATGAAAATATATTAAAACCACCAGCAGCTGGTTGCAAATCGTTGTCTTAATTAGTGAGTCATTGAATCATTTAGTCAAATGATTTGTTCAAAATGGCTTATTCATTTAGGGAAAAAGCAAGTGACTGGCTGCAGGGGCGGATCTACCGGGGTGGCAGCATAAAAGAAAAAGAATTTTTTTTTTAAAATAATTATCACAGAATAAAATATAATATGTAAGCAGTGTTTCATGTGCTACTTTTTAGCAGCGGTGATGACAGCGTAACGCAAAATAATGGCAAGAAAACATCTCTGTGCATTGCACGTGCACTCATACCCCTTTTCTTTCAACACCCAAAGCACCAGCTCTGAACCAGGAAAAGCATTTTTTTTATTATGCAGTAAAGCAACAACAAATACAATTACAAATACAAAATAAAAACAAAAGACAATGAGAGTTACATACATTAATCCAAAGCATAGTATGTTAGCTTATAAGACTTACACCATGAACGAGTCTTATGCAATAGAATTATTAGAGTTTCTTAACGTGTTTACATACACATCAAAATTTTCTTTGAAAATTTACATTTATGAATGTAAAATTTAGCAATAAATAGCAATACATTAATAATACATTTACAGTGAGAAGGGTTTAAATTCAAAGAGTAACCAAATAACACATTTTTTGGGGTTATACAGAAGTTTGGATATAAACCTTTTTTTAACAAAACTGGAAAAGTCAACCCAGAACACTTTACAATAAGCACAGTACCAAAATAAATTAATGATTGTTTCTTCAGACTGAAGACAAAAGGAGCAACTGGGGGAAATACTATTTTTAAATCTAGCAAGTTTGTAATTTACCGGATAGCAATTATGGATAATTTTGATAGAGACTTCAACAACTTTATTAGATAAGAAGAATTTTTGTCAAAGAAGCCAAAACTCTTCCCATTCTATATCACGAAATATGCTATTCCAAAAACTCACACAAGCAGGTAAAGAAATCTGAGATCTATTAATAAATGAACAAATGTCTTTGTTTGACGTGGTATTGAGAAGACTTTGGTGAACAAATAAGTTAGTGTTGTCAAAAATAGGAGTCTTAAGAATTTCTAGGGACAGACTTGACTACAGGTATGATACAATCAGGAATTGCACCAAAACAATGGCATATTCTCTTGAGTGGACTGGAAAAGAGAATTCTTGCATAAATTGTTCATAAGTAAAAAGGACACCATGTTCATCTAAAAGTTTACTAAATATAAGTATATTTTTATCAAACCGATTATGAAGAAAAAAATATTTATTTTTAAATCTAATATTTTTATTGTTCCAAATAAAATATATATTTTTATTAAATATAAGTAAACAATTTATTAAAGCCTGTTTCTGAAAACTAGATAAAGTTAAAGGCATTTTACAAATGTCAAAGTTGCAGTGCAACAACAAATATAAACTTCCAGCTGAATTAAATATATGATTTTGAATAAAATTCCAACAGGATGTGGGGTTGTTTAAAAATGTCTTTATCCAACCCAACCAGCTAGTATAACGCTTTTTTTAATTAAGTGAGTTTTCAAATTCCAAACAAAGTCAACTATAATTTTGTCCAGTGTTCTACAAATTTCCACAGAAACATCCAGCACCATTGCAGGATAGATAACCCGAGATAACCTGCTTTAGAAAGCAACACTCTTCCTGTTATTGACAGACAGAGACCTACTTTGTCTGGTACTACCAAATAAAACTGGATACTACCAAAGAAAACAAAGTCAGCATGGAGAGAGAAAAGTGTGCGTAGCTGGAAATACAATTAAAAATTAGCATATTTAGATTTCACCTTCACCTGTCCCTTAGTCTGGTTGACCGATGGGGCGCCACAGATGCTCTGGCAACCAGCTTCTTCCATTCTTCTCAGGTTTCTCAAGGTCTCGCCCAGCGTCAGGCCTGTCCACTCCTGAATGTTGTTTTCTCATCTCTTTCTCTGCCTGCCTCTCTTCCTCCCTCCTGGCACTGTGCCGTGCAGGAATGTCTTCGCAAGTCCTGATGATCATATTAAATGACCGTACCACCTCATCTTCCATTTTTTCACAACTGTCAGGAGGTCATCATATGGCCCAATGGTCCACCGAATTCTGTCATGTACTTCTTCATTGGAGATGTGATCTCTGTAGGAGATACCGAGGAGTTTTCTAGGGAGCACATCAGTCTGATCTTTGAGCTGAGGGCTATGTTCCTGTAAATCCTGATGGTCTTTAATTTTGTCAGCGCTGCTCTGGTCTTGGCGATCATGGCGAGTATCTCAGGTTTGGACCCTTCATCCGCGACGATAGCTTCCAGGTATTTAAAATTGTTTACACTGTCTAGCTTGTTGACGCCAATCCTGATGTCAGTGGTGAAGCCAATGATGTTGTTAGTCATCAGTTTAGTCTTCTCTGCATTGATCTGCATTCCAAAGGATATAGAGATCTTGTCAAGGTGCTCCACCAAGTTAGCCAAACAAACACCTTGTCTTACTCCAACTGTGGTTCTGAACCAGTCCCCTATGTTGCTGTTGAAGTAAACCGCACTGGTGGCCTTATCATAGAGTTTTTTTTTTATAATTTTGATCAGGTTGGCATTAATGTCATACTCTGTTGAACACCTTTCTGAAGTCCACAAAAATGTGGTAAGGGTTTTGTTGATGTTGTAGGTATTTCTCACATATTATCCTAAGGTTGAAGATCTGCACTGTTGTGCTGCACCCTTGTCTGAAGCCCGCTTTTTATTCAGCGATGATCTTGTCCGCTTGCGGCTTCAATCGATTCAGTAGGATCTTTAGCATAACCTTGCTTGGGTGGCTTATAAGGCTGATGGTACGATAATTCTGGCAAAGTTATAGATTGCCTTTCTTAGGGAGGATGATGATGAGAGACTGATGGTTTGGGCCATTCTCCTGTTTGCCAGATCTTTTGCAGATTTTCAGTAGGGCACTTATCATGGCATCTCCCCCTGCTTGCGTGAGCTCCGCATGGACGTTATCCCCCCCCCCGCCGACTTCCTCTTCTTAAGCGATTTCATTGCTCCTTCCACTTCTGTGTAAAGGATGGGGTACTTGTCATTGTCGGTTGCTGGGGGGACATTCAGTACCTCTGGATCTACTGTGGTTTCATAGCTGTACAGCTGAGCAGTACTCAGTCCACCTCTTTAGGATGTCCTGTTCTTCAGTGATACAATTAACGTCCTTGTCTTGTATGGTTGGTGTTCGCCCTTGCTTTGTGTTGGTCAGGTCTTTCACCAGCTGGTATGCTTTCTTGCTGTTATTCCTCTTCAGGCTGTCTTCAATGTCTTGGCACCGCTCTTCATTCCAGTTCTCCTTTGCTTTTATCAAGCCTTTCTTGATTGCCTGATTGACTTGCTTTATATTGCTTTGTTCCTTCTGCGTCTTCCATCTTCTTCTTCTACAGCTCCCTACACTTGTTGCATAGATCAAGTATATCAGCTGTGACCCAGGGCTTCTTGACAGGGCAATATTTGCTTAAGATTTCATTGGCTGAGTCAAACACTGCTGTGTTGAAGTTATCCACCACTGTGTCTATGTTTGTGCCATCAGCATCTAGAATGTTGAGTGCTGCAAATTTCCCACCTATTATAGCTTGGAAGTCTTCTGTTATTTTGGGGTCCTTCAGCTTTTCGAGGTCGAATTTAATCCTGATGTGACCCTGTTTCTTGATCCTCAATCCTTTTCAAATGCAACGTAAAGGACATCGTGACGAGGTCGTGATCACTTCCGATGTCAGCTCCTGGGAAGCTTTGTATTTTGGCAATGTTTACACTGGACCAGAAGCGCCTCTGCACCATGATGTAGTCTATCTGATTATGATGCAGTCCATTTGGGCTGTGCCACGTGGTTCTTCTGAATGTTTTGTGTGGACCTAATGTGTTAGCCACTATAAGTACATTGTTGTTAGCAAATTCCAGAAGTCTTAGGCCTCTCTCATTGGACTTGAAGTTGCCATATCGCCCACATGTGCCTTTCCAGTTCTCATAAGCATCCTCTCCTATCTTGGCATTCCACTCGCCCTGCACCACAAGAATGTCCTTCTTTGGAGTTCGGTCTAATATTTCCTGCAATTGTTCATAGAAGTATTTTATGTCATCATTGTCGTAGTCACATGTTGGTGCTTACGCCTGTATGATGGTGATATTGAATGGTGATGCCCTCAGACGGATGGTGATAAGTCGGCTCAATATTGGGCAACAACTCATGATGCAGTTTGTGGTGTTTTTATGGATGAGAAATGCGACTCCCTGTTCATGTTTGTCATCCCTTCCACTGTATAGTTTGTGACCTTCTTGGGTGGACGTTTCTCCAATGTTTTTCCATTGCACTTCACAGAATCCTAAGATGTTCCAGCGGTATCTATTCATCTCGTGGGTGAGTTCTTCCAACCTGCCTGTTTTTCTCAACGATCTTACGTTCCATGTGGCAATGGTGATGTTACATCTGGCACTGATCTTGTTATTTGACAGATCAGTAGCATATTTTCCACCTCCGTCCTGGTCTGCGGCGGCCCTTGGTAGCCCGGGTGACGTCCGAGCCGGTATGGGTTGGTTATTGGTTGTCATTATCATTATCTATGGCATAACTAGGGCAAATGTTGCATGGTGGTGTCCATCCCTCTCCATGCCACAGCCAATGACCTCCATCTAGGTAGCTCGACTTGGTCGCGAACACGTGGTCGTTGTAGTTCATCTGGGAACTCTTCCGCCATGGCCTATGCCCAGTGCCGTGCCGTGCCGCGTTAGCACCACCGCCTCACGCGGTTTGGTCCGCCAGCTGAAGCGGTTTACCAGGGCATGGCGCTTGGAGCCACATGTAAGAGATTTAGAGGATGGAAGGGGACCTGTGAAGCCATCCACCCGAATGCGCAGCATGCCAGACATCAAAGGTACTACCCCTTTCCAAAGCCCCTTATGCCCCATATTTAGATTTAAAGGGGTGCTATTATGCTTTTTCTCTTTTTCAACTTTAGTTAGTCTGTAATGTTGCTGTTTGAGCATAAAAAAGGCCTGCAAAGTTACAAAGCTCAAAGTCCAATTCAAAAGGAGATATTTTATTTAACAGAAATCACTTTTCAAAACTACAACGAACGACTCGTTTGGACTACAACGCATATTTTCCGGGATTTGTGATATCACAAATATCGTTGAATGGGACGAGACCTGGTTGAGCTGCACTAGAGAAGGCAACGAGTGTTATCACTATGTCGGAGACACGCTAGCTTTCTCAAGGCAGACGAACTTAGAGTGGTTACAATCATCCGGGTTTAAATCATGCTCAAATTAATTTGATTTTGACGCAATGTTTACACTGAAGCTCGCAGGCGGCTATGGTAAGGGGCGTGTCATTTCCTGACCAGGCGCAGAGTGCTGCCAATCACAACACACACTGGCCCAGCTAACCAATCACAGCACATTTCAAATGAAGGCGGGCCTTCATTTGATACAGGAATTATTCGAGACGTTCATGCCAGACTGTGGAGAGAGGTGTTGTAATAATGTAGAATATGCGAAAAATAATGTGTTTTTCGAACAACCTTGTATGAAAGCCTGTTCTAGTACACCCCCAAAACAAAATCAAGACTTTGTAAAAGAGCATAATAGGACCCCCCTTTAAAATACTGTAAATGTGTTTCTATTGAATTAAATAACTTGAGGTTATTTTTTTGTGTGGCATTAAATCCATAAACATTACCCAGGACACACACAAAAAAACATTTTATTATAACTTTCATTAATAAATCATTAACAAACATTATGTAATGCTTAACGGATCATTAGTTCATATATATTCACATACCTATAAACGTGAAATAACATGCTTGTCAAAGTTTACTAATAAATGTATAAAACATTACCTAATAATTAACATTTCATGTAAATTAAAATGCTTATAAATGTCATTAAACTTCTAATTCAAATGATCATGCACATTTTGAAAATCTACAAATGATGTTTACAGATGTTATACAATGATTAAAAGCTTTCGTTAATGCACAACACCTTTGCTGCTGTTGAGGTGTGATACGGGTAGGGTTAGGGACATGTTTGTTTGTATGGGTAGGTTTAAAGTTGGGTAAGGGGTCAACAAGTGTACAGGGGTCAGTTTGATTACTATAAGGGAACACGATGCAATCTGTTTATATTGTTTTGGTAAATGATAAATTAAGTATTTTCTTGACAATTTGTTACAACATTTACAAATTATGAATAGTCTCCACTTTAGACTGGGTACTGCAAAAACATGAACAAATTATTAATAAATGATTTGTAAAGATGTGAAAATAGGGTGAATTCTGGTCATTTGGGACACTTTTTGCCATCAAAATGACTGCTCATAAAGGTACTAATGATTAGTAAATGTTTATAAACATTTACAATTGATGAATAGTCTCCACTTTAGATTGGGTACTGCAAAAACATTAATAAATAATTAATGAATGATTTAAAATGTGCAAATAGTAGAAGTCTACACAACAAACAAAGACCAAATATATGACCTTTACAGACTGTGATTATGACTTAATGAATATATTAACATGAATAGTCTGTGAAGTGCTTAAAATGACTAAGCTATATTTTCACAACATTTGTAAATATAAAAATGAGCATTTGCTAATATGTGAAGTGAAGTTTAATGACATTTGTAAGCATTCAAAAGTACACAAACAAATAAGCTTGTAAATATTGTATAATTTCTGTTAAAATCATTTGCAGATTTTTAAAACGCATTGAAAGTTTAATGACATTTGTAAACAACTAATGAGCCGTTAACCATTATATAATGTTTGTTAACGATTTATGAATTAAGCTTTTAATCATTTGAAACCATCTGTCAAAATCATTTGAAGATAAAAAAAATGCATGATCATATGAATTGAAAGTTTAATGACATTTGTAAGCATTTCAATTTACATGAAATAATGTAACATAATAATCTGTTAATCATTTGGTAATGTTTAATAAGTTCATTAGTTAACATTGCACATTATCTAATTTCTAGATATGTGAATATAAAGTAATGATTAGTTAAACATTATATAATGTTTATAGATAGATAGATAGATACATACATACATACATACATACTAAATAATATAAATGTATTAATAAATATTTATTAAACACATTTTAAATATATTCAATAAACATGAAATATATTGTCATACATAGCATACTCAATGTGAGCCAAAATATAAAAATTTTATATGATTAAAATTATTGCTACATTACTGCTGTTAATATGAATGAAACAATACACTACATATTGTGTGAGGTTAATTGTGTATGGAAATGCTTTCTACACTTCTGAAGGTGTACCATCTCTTATTTTGTGCTTATTACAAACCAAATTGCCACAAAAAGCATAATATATAAGAGCATTATAAAACTTTTTGTCTCGTATTCCATAAACTAAGGGACTCAGACAACGAGGCAAGATCAAAAACAAAATGAAATTTGAGTATCTTACATTCACAAATAGCATGAAATCTACTTTCCATAAAGGCATTTCTATATAAGGGGTTATAAGCTGCATCATAGACAGAAGCAGCTGAACACCATGGAGGATAATAGTTTTGAGACCCTTATTTGTGGAGGTCTTCCTCTCAGAGGAGGCAGATCTGGCCGCCAATATAATCTTGAAGTAAGTGGAGACAATAATACACAACATCATGATGAATAAGAGCTGCAGACTTGTCGCTCTCATGTCTGCCAGCCATTTTACCTGTAACATGATCTCTACACTACACACAACATATAGGTGAAAGACACCAGGAGGAATATAAGCAAAAGAGGCTATTAAAACAAACAATGGAATGACAAAACTGACACTCCATATGACAAGAAGCCCAATGAAGGTATTTTTAGGGGTGGAGATACTGGAATGTCTTAAAGGCATACATATGGCTACATAGCGCTCCAAACACATGGCTACAAGAGTCATGGGTGAAACAAATATAGAGCAAAAACATAAATGTACAGAAGATATAACAAGGAATTATATGCACAGGGTACTGGTAAAACGACCCCATGAGGGTTAAATCAGTCAACAGCATAAGAGCAGAGTCAGCAAAAAGAGTCTGAGCAAACAGAATGTAGCGTGTTATCCTGAAGGTCTCCTTCTTCAAAAAGGTGAAAATCATCAGTCCGTTTACATACAGAAGAATCCCCACCAGTACCTGCACCAGCAAAGGCTTCTCATTAATTGCTTTCAAATGAAATGTGCTGCTCAAATTGTTGTTTTCGGTTAAGTTCATCTTGAATGTCTGCCAGCCATTTTACCTGTAACATGATCTCTACACTACACACAACATATAGGTGAAAGACACCAGGAGGAATATAAGCAAAAGAGGCTATTAAAACAAACAATGGAATGACAAAACTGACACTCCATATGACAAGAAGCCCAATGAAGGTATTTTTAGGGGTGGAGATACTGGAATGTCTTAAAGGCATACATATGGCTACATAGCGCTCCAAACACATGGCTACAAGAGTCATGGGTGAACAAATATAGAGCAAAAACATAAATGTACAGAAGATATAACAAGGAATTATATGCACAGGGTACTGGTAAAACGACCCCATGAGGGTTAAATCAGTCAACAGCATAAGAGCAGAGTCAGCAAAAAGAGTCTGAGCAAACAGAATGTAGCGTGTTTCCCTGAAGGTCTCCTTCTTCAAAAAGGTGAAAATCATCAGTCCGTTTACATACAGAAGAATCCCCACCAGTACCTGCACCAGCAAAGGCTTCTCATTAATTGCTTTCAAATGAAATGTGCTGCTCAAATTGTTGTTTTCGGTTAAGTTCATCTTGACAGCAAAAATAAGCCATAAAAAATTCAAAGTCAGAAGGTGTAATTTGTGATGTACCTCAAGGCAAATAGAGTGAACCTCCTAACTCTCCTCCCTTTGTGCTGTTTTTATAGAGATTTAGATGGGCTGAGCCTTATTTTGTTGACAGACAGTCATATGTCATCAGTGCAGATGTTTCTATGATCTGAATACTAATTTCATCATTTGGGATGATTCAGACAACAAAATGATAAAATATTAGATTTAAAGATAATATTGTGTGTGAGTGTTTTTTTAAAGGCCTGTAGCAAATTATCTCTAAAGGAAAATAATTTTTAATTACAATTATTGATTATTTATATCAGCTGCCAGTAGTAACTAGTAGTGCACTCTATCTGTCATGTGCCTTGTGCCACTTTATCTATCTTTTTTTACAATGTCCTTAACCACCTTATGTTCAAACATGGTGTTTGTTATGGCCAATCCATGCTGAGCACATAACTCCAATAATAAAACACCTCTCGGGTTCAGAGCAGGCAGGCCATTCCTCCAATTACCCCCCTCCAGGCTTCGTCCCCAACATGAACATTAAAATCACCCAGCAGAACTATGGAGTCCCCAGGTGGTAACTCTGGACCCAGGACCTACAAGAAGGCTGGACACTCTGAACTGTAGTTTGGCGCGTAAACACAGAATGACGACATGACCCTCTCATCTATCGGGCAAAACTCCAACACAGTGGCACAGAGTCGGGGACTTGTGAGTATTCCCACCCCCCACTCAAGTTCAAGTTCCAGTTCAAGCACCTCTCAGACTGATCGACTCCAGAGAAGAAGAGAGTCCAACCCCCATCTAGGAGTTTGGTTCCAGAGCCAGAGATTAACTTTAATTAAGATTGTGATTAGCTGTCATCAATAAACTTGAAGCACATGGTAATTGCATAACATATAACATTTACTTTACAGAATTGTAAAAGAATGTTTTATCTTATCAGGTGTTTTTTGGCATTCAGTTTGTTCATCTTTAATTTTATTGCTTGAATGTTTCCTCTCTGTCCATTTTCTGCATTGTGTCTGCATGGGAGAGAAATGTAAAAGGGCGAAATCATACATTATAAAAGACTGTTTTATCTCATCAAATTAAATGAAGAGTCGACCAGTCAGTTAATGTCTGTCTATTTATTCCAACAAAAACACATAACACAGACAACACCAGCTACAAATACTCCATCTGCCTGTGTTACTTCTGACAACAGGACAAATGGATTTGGAATGTTGGCTTTGGTGCTTCCAGTGTACACATGGTGTTAGAATTTTGCAAACCATAATCTTCTGCAAGTAGTTAAAATTTTCAGCTCATCTCATTATGAATTCATCAGGAGTTGTTTGAATCATTTGATCAATGTTGTTTGCTATTGGTGCAATTTCATTAGGTAAATTTAATTTTTGTGCCGATGATACACATTGTACATATCTACAAAACCCAATATTTCCCATCCCCCTTTCAAACTTACTAAATGTTTGCAGGGTGTTAACATATGGATGACTAAGAATTTCTTAAAGCTTAATACCAGCAAAACTGCCCAGTTAATATTTCCACCCAAGTGAAAAGTCTTGGTTTTGTATTTTATGGTTTGATTTCTTTTGATTCTCATTTTAATAATATTTGATGTACTGCATTTTTTAATTTATGTAACATTGCTAGACTCTGGTCACCACTTTCTTAGCATAGCACTGAAGGCCTCATTCTTGCTTTGGTAACATCTTGGATTGATAATTGTAACTCTCTCTTTTTTTTTTTTGGTGTTCCTGAAAAACAACGTCACCGATTACAGTTAATTTCAGGATAAGTTATTTTGGTGTTAGGGCCTTTAGTTGTGCAGCACCAAAATTATGGATTTTTTTTATTATTTTTTTTACCATGCATATCGCCTGCTGGATTCTATTTCCCAGGTTAAAACTCTGATTAAAACATATTTGTTTGTATTTTATTGATTTTGATTGCTTGATTTGTATGTTTGTGTTTTTGTATTGATTGTATTTTATTGATTTTGCTGTAAAGTGTCCTTGAGTGCCTAAAAAGGTGCCTATAAATAAAAGTTTATTTCATTTTACCCACTTAAAAAAAAACATTTACAAATTTAGCTCAAATTAAGTTGTCACAGAGTAATTGCTACTAGTTTATAATCAAATTTGATTAAGTGTTAAACATATTTTTTATAAAAATGTTTGATCAGTATTTCTTCCGACAGGGTTGACAAGGTTGACTAGCTTTTCATTTTAGGTAATTGATTTTATTTAAGATTATTTTATCCAACATCTAAGTTCTAACATCTAATAACAACCAAGCAAAAACATGGTAATTTGTCTCCAATATTTACTAAAATATCCATCATGGGAAACCATAGGCTATCATACACTGAACGACATCAATTTTCACTCTTGTAAATTGTACTACTTACAAAGAAATTACAAGTAACATGCTGAAGTTTTTGTAGTAGAAAGACTGGAATAGCATTTTCTTGTACAACATGAAGAAATACTCAGTCTCATGACATTTCTGTTACAAGTTTATTTTAGAACACTGACGTATACAGAGATGTGTCTGAACCCACATAGAGAAGGGAAAAGGAATCTACACCTCTATCTGCAGCATCAAATTCACTACACAGTGCTTCAAAACAGCATCTCTATGCTGAAACAAAGAGAAGAACAAAAACCCTACAAGGCTATAATACAAAATGTATGCACAAAACAAAGTAACAATAATTGGGCACCTTTTAAAAGTTACACAAAGAACTGGTGCTGAGGTAGACAATACGATAAAGTAAAACACAACGAATGTAAAACCATTTCGACACCAAGAACACGGTCTTGTCACTAGAACAAGGCAAATGGAGCGAAAATGGCTGTTTGGTCCCACGTGGATCCTCAGTCCGAGTATTAATTTGTGTAACAATGGCACAAATATGGGTGCACTGAGTGACATGGCTACATCATAAGCAAAAAGGGTCCATTGTCAATACTGTAGTGATGGGTGAATTTTATATGAATGCATATGTTACTTATATGAAAACGTATAATTTTTAGAGAATAAACGTAAGCATGAAGCGGTGAAAGAAACACGAGTTAATCTGATAGCGTTGCATTCAACCCTGCACCAAAGCAGTCTCTCATCGTGTCGCTGGTTAGCCTCTGGTTTGCCTGTGCGCGTTCATGTGATTTGGAGGAGGTGTGGCTTTGGAGAGTGATTTGCAGGGAGGGTGGGATCTTATGCATTAAAAGCTTGCTTGCTATTGCTAGCCTCTCCAAAATCACCTACCCTACCTTTAAACTCATTGTGAAATCTGTGCAATTGGAAATGTTTCACCCTCATGAAAAATTCCTGATCATGTTGAGTCCTATTGAAATGACTGGATTTCTAACCTGATCTCATAAGAAAAGGTAACTATTTAACGAGGTGGTGATTTCGTATGAATGCGAATAATGTGATTCATATGAAAATGTGCGAAAAAAAAAAGAAAAAAAAAAAGACGATTTTGAACCTGTTGCGAAATCTGCAAAAATGGAAATCTTTCGCCCTCATGTAAAATTCCTGATCATGTTGATTCCTATTGAAATGACTGGATTTCTAACCTGATCTCATGAGAAAATTTTACTATTTTACAAAGTGGTGATTTTGTATGAATTTGTACAATTTGATTGGTGCAGAAATGGATGATTTTTTGAAAAATACGTAAGCATGAAGGTCCACCCCTAAACTTAACCGTCAATGGGGCGTAAGCAGAGCGTTCAAAAAGTATAAATGAGATTGAACAAATTTACACCAATTGGTCACCAATTTGCCAAAACATAAAATAGTTACGTATTGCCATGAGTTAGTATTGCGATTTTGCCAGTTAAAATTCGCCAAACAAAAAGGCAAATGTTACCACACCTTTACAATTTTGTTAGTAGTGCAGAATACATTTAAACATAGTAAAATGCCTTAAATGTAAAGTACTACAGTCTTATTGATAGATAAAACATTTACCAATTAACCAAAACATAAACACATAAGGGGCAGCAGATATATAGAACGTTGCGAACAAACCTTCCAATTTTCTCTTAAATTTCTCTCTGATTCGGTGTAGGCCTGATGATGTGGCATTCTAAATGCGTTGTACAGCTCTTAAACAAAGCTCAGCAGGAAATGAGAGACAAAGACTACTACAAAAATAAATCTAGCATGTGAGGTAACAAAATTAGGCAATTCAAGTAAAACGTTCGAACAGAGATGACAGAACACAAACTACAACGGCGAGCTAACTACAGGTATCCTCAGCAGAAGACTGCAGAAACATATACTGCATTGCGGTTTTTAAATGTAAAAAAAAAAATCATCTCTTTTTAATTCATAATTTGATTTATGAGTACGATATTAACATTTCATTAGACTAAAATGCCTGCAGTTGCAAAACTGTGATTGCGTCATGTTACCATGTGAACATAAAAAAAGAAATCAACTGATATGCTGTACTATTTGGTGTGAAAGTGACTGAAATGAAAGCAAATCGCAGAGATTCACCTCTCTGGCTTCGTCTGAATGCACTAAATGCAGAAATGGTGCTGAAAACAACAAAAAAATAGGCCTCTGAAACTCTGAAAGTGCACAGTGTAGTTATTTAAGGTTTAATACATGTCCCTGAACATCCACTACAGTTGCTTGGCAGCACAATTTGGATGTACCACTGAGAAAAGCTGTTTTGTTAAGCACTTTATTATGCTTTAAAGAAAACGACTAATGGGTCCAACCCTGTGCATTTCCTCGCATGCGTTTATAAAAAAAAACATGAAAATTGAGGACTAGAGAGCCTAATAATGAACTTAAGGGAGCAATTTACTAAAAAAGGGCATAATTTCATTCACTAATGTGTTTAGCTCCTCTGTTCCATCATGTGTGTATGTTTTCAGCTTTGGTCCATGTTTTTATTTGACTCAGAATAGCTCCATTAAGACTCCATGAAATCAAAATAGGAGACTTTGAGTCCATGTGTGTTAGCTTTGAGGTTGCTAGCGTATTATAAACATTGACCTTTAACGGATATGCATTTAAAATTATGGTTGTGATGTAATTAAAGCCTACAGGATGATCCCTATGACAGATTTCATGGAGTCTTAAAAATCTATGGCTTATGTGTTGTCCGTGGAGATAAAAAAAAATTACGAGAATCCTTATTTGAATAAAACATTACAAGTACGACCATGCAGTGAATTTCTCCGATCAACAGGGTGGAATGCAGACAAATGGATTCTCGTCATAGTGGTGGACTGTACTACTAACACTTTCTCAAAATTCACATCCATTTATCACATATAACATTTCCATTTCATAAACATTTGCGAGTGCAGTTACATCCTAAAAATGTGCACAAATGCATGTCACAAACGAAAGGTCAAAAAAATCCACATCACATTTCATCACTTTGACCACGACCCCTCACCGTCTTTGGCCTGGACCAAAAGCAAACCTTCAGGTGAATTGTTCTTGGGCGCATCTTGCCACTTTCTCTTTCGGTTTTGTCGGCCCATCTCACACGTAGCAGAGGTACAGGTAGGTCTTCTCTATCCTCCAGTCTGGGGGCACGTCCTCGGGCTTGTGGGCCTTCATGTGCTTCTGCATGGACGAGAGGCTGGGGCAGTACTCCTGGCAGATGGTGCACTGGTAGGGAGAAGCGCCGTTGTGGGTACGCAGGTGTTTGATCATGGCGGAGTAGTCCCGAGAGCGCTGGTGGCACAGCTTGCACTCAAACGGCTTCTCACCTGTGGAGAACAAGTACAGAACATTTCAAACTACCAATAATGTGAAAATGACAGAAACAGCTGTGTTGATTAAAGACGGCATGAAATTGGAATCACAGCTCATTTTACTTCCATGATATGATGGATAATGTTCGAATTTATTCCAGAGTGATTATTTTTAACTAAAAGTAAAACTAAAATCATAAAAAAGATTTCCATTACTTAAAATAAAATAAACATTAACAGAAATATATATATATATATATATTAAAAATGACAAAAATACACGACAAATTACTTAATTTATTTCATTACGTAAATGTTAAATGTATATAAACTAGTAACTATATCTAAAATATAAATAATGAAATGATAAAAATTAGTAAAACTCATTAAAATGAAAAGTAATTCAAAATAAAATAAAAAATACAACTAATACAAACTATTCACAAAAAAAGAAAAACTATATAATAGTATAACAGTGATATTGAAATAAAATAACTAAATATAAACTAATAACTATATATAAAATAAAAATTATGAAAATGCAGCAAAACTAGTACAACTAATTAAAAACTAATTAAAAATAAAAACAGAAAATATACATATCAAATCTAATTCAAAATAAATAGATGCTACAATAAAAACTAAGAATTAAATTCTTGAAAAGAAAACCTTTTAAGCAGTTCCCTTTATGTACCATTTCTTAGAAAATGTTAAAATAAATTGAATAAAAATATATGAAACAGCCTCACTGCTTATTAATATTTGAAAAAAAGAAAAGATTTGTCTGTTAAAGTCAAGAAATTATATCGCAGAGAAAACCCTGCAGACACTCAAAACTGTGTCAAGGTCAATATGACTCTTAAAATATCAGACAATTTGACCTTTTTGTTGTAATTAATAATTCATGATATTTGTAAAACATACTTTTTACCTTAAAAAATATATTTAAAATCTTAATAACTGAAAAAATAAATGATGGTCAATATAAAAAAAGACTGTCCGGTACTGATGAAAGATTATCATGACAGCAACAGGTTCAAGATTTCCCATACTAGCTCTGCTTCCTGTCTGATAAGGTGGAGTTAAGCTGCCACCTGCTGTCCAGGATGGGAACGACAGATGTGTAGATCCGTGGGTGTGCAGCCTGCCACTGAGCACAGCAAACCGAGTATTGATCCGCCATTGACAGCAAGTGTAAATGTCAGTGATTCTCCGGCTGGTTGTGTGAAGGTGCAGTGGCCTTTCAGCCAAGAGTTTCTGCTCTTGTTATCTTCACCTGCCCGGTCTCGTGGCCGCAGCCCCGCTTGACACAAAGACAGCAATTATTTGACAGGCCTGCTGATAGGTTTGCTTTAGCAGCTGCCTTATTGAGGGCCAGAGAGCAGCAGCAATCAGTCTGTAATTCCAGCTCAGCCGAAAGATTTAATATGCCACCGTGGCGAGACCACGACAGAATAAAATAGATACAAGGAATTTAATCTAGCGTGGACCTGAAAATGTCAAGATCTGAATTCTTCGGGTGTAAAACTGCGGCCTTATAGTGTAATACAATTCATTTATCATCTTATAAAGCTGTTGCCTTGTTTTATTAGATCATATTTGCTAGAAGACACTACGCTGGCTCAGCCGTGTCAAAGATCTCCAACCTGGAAGAGCAGGTCAATGTGTTCCCGGTGTGTATCTATTAACCTGTGAGCTTCTACGGCTTTGGGAATCACTGCTGAAGTGAAGCAGTAATCAGATGAGGTGAGAATGTGGCTGACCTGTGTGGATGCGGTAGTGGGTCTCCAGCTGGTGCTTGAGGCTGAACCTCTTGCCACAGCCGTTACATTCATAAGGCTTCTCTCCGGTGTGGATGCGCTTGTGACCCTTCTGAGTGCTCTCGTCACGGAAGCAGCTCCCGCAGAACTCGCACTCGAACGGGTGGTCACCTGCCGTGCAGAGAGACAACAATAAAGTTCTTAATCTGAATGCATTTTTAATTGGGAGATTCTAGAAAGCATTTGATTGGAGAACAAGCAGTTTCCCGTACTGCTTTTCAGTAGAAGAGAATGGGAATGAATAATACATAAAACAGAGAGCGGGACCAGTGTAGTGTGATTCACGAACAAATGACTCGCATGAGCCAGTTCTTTTTAGTGAATCACAACCATACCGTGCTACCAGTGTAGTCTGATTCAGGAACAAATGATGCTTATGAGTCGGTTCTTTCTGATGAATCCAAAACACACAGCACCACAGCCCCTTCTATTTATAGGCATTATTTTGATTATCACTTTACTTTATTATTGTAATTGCATTTTTCCTCTCTTTTGTTTCATGGTTCTGGGCATTTCAAAGATTTTGTTGTTGTATATAACTTTTTTATTCTTTGTCATGTTTTTGTGCTGGCAAATAAAATAGGTTTATCAAAACAAAACAAAACAAATGCAAAAATGGACAGTAATCAAATAAATCAGAACTAAATAAAATAAAATAAAATAAAAAGATTGAGTCTGAATTACTATACTGAATAATTTATTTAGAATTAGCCATTTAGAATTTCTTATGCAAAAACTGACAATAATCAAATAAATCAGAACTAAATCAAATTGATCAGTGCTAGTGTTATTTTAGCATTAATTATATACTATTATAATCTTCATTAATATTTTGAATGATCTTATACACACACGTATATGTAAACTAAATGCAAAATAAACTCAATATTACATATATTTTATTTATAATTTATTTATTTTAGTTTAAGTTTTAATAATTATTTATGCTTTTGTAATTTTATTCATTTTTTTGTTTCATTTGTATTTATTTCAGTAGTAGTTTTAGTAATTTTAGAACTTTAAACATTTTATTTCAGTTGGCTGCCGAAGCAACGGTAACTTTTTATCTAGTATTGAAATTGTATTTTATTTAAATAATTTCACTTATTTCAAATAATAAAATATTTGTAATAGTTTTATTTTTATGTGTACATGGTTTCTAGCTGGTTAAAGCTGGTCATTAGTTGTTCCAAATTGGTTTAGTTGGTTGACTAGTTGCACTCCAAGCCGGTGGGGTCTTAAGGCAACCTGTTTGAAATGGTTAACCACATTTCAAAACATAACTTAAAAAAACATAACGTAGTCTGGTATGACTTGGATTTTCCAGTCAATCCCTATTAAACAAGAAGACTTACATTTCCTTAGTGATCAGTTGTATCGACACAGCTTGTAAATAAAAACAGGCAGAGAGTTGTGCTCAGATGACAGAGTTATTAATATCGAGTAAACATCACAAGGTGCTGAAAGGGAATAATCCAGGACATTTCTCTCCGCCGGCTGTTCTAATGTCAGTGATCAGTACGAGTCTGATATGTAGTGACTTCAAACGCCGGCCGATTGCTAATTGCTTTCCCGCTCTGACTAACAGCCCCTCATATCATTTCCTCAGACAGCAGCGGCATATAACGCTCGCAATATTTAATACATTTCAGCCTGGGCGGCGTGGTTTTAAAGTCATCGGCGGTGACCTATGCTCTTCATTATCTCCCTGTCCAAGTGCTAGCCGTGCTCGGGAATAAATTGCATCTCTTGTTATGTTCCGTCATGCTCCGACTTAAACCCTCCTCTTAAGAGACAATGCAGAAATTCCCTGAGCACGTTCTCTAAGCCAATCACAACCCGCCATTCACATTCAAATACACTTCTGTCGGAGATGAATGGGTTTCTATCTGGGCCGAGAGAAAAATAAAAGCAGACTGGGAGAGATGAGATCCCTAGTGAACAGATATGAGATGATAGATAGAGAGGCAGTCTTTATGCATCTGTATCAACTTATCCGATGCACCTTCTGAAAGCCCTCCAGCCTGTCTGTCATTAAAGTTAATTGCCCAGAGGCAGGCAGCAGGCAGGCCTGACTCACAACACCACAGGCATGCTAATGCGCTAACGCTGTCTACTGCGTGTGCATTCTGAACACGTCACTAACTACACATTGGAGGAAATATCCACAGGTATCAGCTTCGGTGCGTTTCCCCGTTTGAAAGTCTATTATTGTGCAGACAATGTCGAATTGGAAGTTAAACGCGGTGTCAAACGCACAAGAAAGTGTTTATTGACGATGGTACATTTTAGCTTACAGTGAGTTTTACATAAGCATTGTTAAATATTGAATAAGCCTGACAAAATGGCTTGAAAGTCAAGGCCGAACGACCTGCAGAGACTGTCTGTGCCATAAGCAATGTGAGCTTTGTGCTCTGTACCATCAAACACAGCTGTGAACATAGACAGCCGCCACTGTCTGCAAATGGCCTGGCAGTGAAATGGAGAGCGAACAGGAATGGCATATTAATGAGAACAGGCTACATGTGCAGAATGAAGAGAGGAACAACTGGAGACGCACGCAGCCCATTGTTTGATTTGCCCCTCGCATTGTAATTACAATGCAGATGAAATATACAGGTGGATGTTGCAGGAGCCCAGGTATTACTTGCTTACGTTTAAGGTTCTTTTTATTTATTAGTTATCATTTTGTTGTTGCGTCATGAAATATTTTAGCTGGAAAGACTAGTAGAGCTGATGATTTATGCTGCTTAGTGCTGGTAGATCAATATCAATGTTGTTTACCAGCCAAATGCAGTTTTTTTTTTCTGATGACGCTGACTAACCAAGAGAGGGTTTTGGTTAAGCTAGTTAAGAAGCCGGGTAGATGTTACACTCTTATAAATAAAGGTTCTTTATTCACATTGATGGTTCCATGAACAACCTTTAACATACATGGAATCTTTCCATACAAAAGGTTCTGTCTAGTGGAAGAAGTTCTTTAGATTTTTACAGTGTTCAAAACATGATTTCATGAAGAACTGTTTACTGAAAGAGTCTTTGGGGAACCAAAATTGGTTCTTTTATGGCATTGCTGCAAAAACTATTATTTGGAACATAATAGCATCCAAAACACAACATATACTGACATGAACAGCTGTACGCTAATTGGATTTACACCTACATCTCAACAAGATCTTTTTAATTTCATGCTATTTAAATAGCATTTTCGATTAAATAGAGAGCAAATTGGGACCTAAAAAATAAGTCAGAGACCTTCAATATGAACTCAAATATTTCTCATTAAATTCTTCCAAAAGTGGTCTGTTTTCCACATAAATGTTATAGCTCTTACTGTATGCAACAGTTGTCTCATTTCTTTCTGCTTTTTATTTTAGGATAAACATCTTAAGACTGTTTATTTAAATGAAGTGCACCTAAGATCATCAATGAGTCTCTTAGGCTTTGAAAGGATTTCTAAATTGCTAAAAATGATAGGCTTTTGACTTTGTTTTTCTATTGATATGTACACATTATATGTATGCATATTTGCATTGCTTTGACCGTTCTCTGTAGATCCCATCTTATTGCACATCACAACTGGTCGATTATGTACAATGCCTGTATGTTATTGGTCAGACTACTTTTCAGGTATTACCTTAAACAAGTATGAAATCAATAACTAGGAAAATAGGAAAACCAAGGCAAAACCTGGACATTTTTGACAATTTAGAAATGAACTCTTGAGATGCGGTCCAAACACCACAATTTCAGTAAGTTTATACTCACGTCTGCAAGCTGTTTAAAACCTCCTGCAATTCAAGTACAGAGAAATCAGATTTTGCTTGTTGAAATAGCTACAGAAGTTGACATTTACTCAGACTCCGTTAGGAACGTCAGAATGTCTTTTCAGATGTTGTTCTGGAAAAACTCATGTACCCTGCAGTCTGTGGCGAGATGGAGTGCATACGTAATGCCTCGACTCTTTAAAAAAACAACCTCACTTCATTTCTGGCCCCTCTTATCAAAAATTTACATGTTGAATCTAGACTTCAACTGCCTCTGAAAATCTTACTGGTATTTCAGGTCAGACAGAGAGAGCAAAAGTGAGAGAAAGATGCACTCTTGCAAGTAAATGGAGTAGGGGCAATTTGGTGCTCTTTCTGTTCACTGCCAGACCAGACAGATTCAATCATCACTGTTTGCCTAGTTATGAAGGAAAAACAGAGATAACTGTTAAACATGCTTGTACAAAGTACACTGATATAGTCTGTTCTAACAAATTGTAATGGATGTTGATTTATATTTATTCAATTTCTAGCTAATATTTGCTTGAGCATGCTTATATTTTGTAATCCTACCTGTTGCACTGAAAATAATCTCAGTGTCACCTTACCAAACATGCTTCTTCCACCTAAATTTCCTCTTTTTGTCGTCGTTATTGGGTCATTTGATAATTAAATTCTCACACTCAGAAATTCTCATAATATAGAATGGTAAAAAGGTCAGGTTTGACCTACTGTCTGTAATAGAGGGGCTTGACTTATGCTTAAAGTTTCCCTGAAGGAAACTAAGGGGAGAAAGAGGGAGGTAAGGTAGAGAAAGAGACAAAAGACTATCAGAAGATAGTCTGAGCCTCAGATGGGCCGCCCACAGACTATAGGGAGATCAAGTTTTGTTGACAAGTTACCACACTGGAAGAAGACACAGTATTGAGAAAGCCTGAGATGATTTTGACACTGAATATTTATTCAAACGTGAAGTTTGAGTAAGCTGAAGACATTCTAGCCATTGTTTGAGCAAACTAGCATTAGCATTGACATTTTATGTGTCAGATATTAGGCCCATTTCTCTCTAGGTGGTGGTTCTTTGGCATAAGCGTGACGATATGTACCTGACTTTGTCAATACTCAAAAATTGGGCTCGTCTGAGGATAAGCATGAGGTTTATATAACCCATGCTCCTCCTGAACTGTTTGAAACTTTGCCACATCTCAGCTTGTGGCCCGTTTGCCCTTTTCTGCATTACATGGAGGTGTAAAGCTGTTAATGTGCTTTTAGATGACTCAGATATTGGCGGTGGGAGGGATGTTCAGGTAAAGCTCACCTGTGTGCGAGCGAAGATGGCGTTTGAGCGCCGTGTGGCTCGGGAAGGTGCGCTCGCACTCGCTGCAGACGTAGCTGCGCATGCCGGCGTGAATCTCCATGTGCTGCTGCAAAGCCTTCTGGGTCTGGAAACGCTTCCCACATAGGAGACAAAACACTGCCATGTCTGAGCCTTAAGATGAGAGACAAAACGAGAGGGGGTTTAATTAGTGTTTAGTGCAAAGAATGCAGAATTTGGATTTCATCCATTTTGTTGTTAAGTACATTTTAGCAAAATGAATGAATAAGTCTATGTGTTTCATAATGGATGGGGTTGAAGAGACTTAAATGTATCGTCTTAGTTTCTCTTTTCTCCACAACAAAAAAACAGTGCTTTCAGTATCTATGGCCAATCAATAATGTATCTTTCAAGTAAAGCTGTCTCTAATTTAAAATCTTTGTGAAAGCCCAGTGTTGGGCTCGTGAACAGCAGGCTGGGATTGACTTCTCACTCAATCAATCAGCATTTACGACAGAGCTCAGAGTAAAAAAAAGCATTAGTGCCTGAGACACATAAAAATGAACCTCTACACTTCACTGACAGCTCGTCTGTAATGTGAGTTTGGTGTAAATGTACTTAGACAAGTTGCCCGATTTCTCTTCCATTCTCTCCAAGTTTAAGAGCCGACATTGATTACGAAGGGCCATTCAGGGGCCGGGAGAAGACATTCAACCTTGAAAACTTTTTGAGTAAGATCAACGATACAAAAGGAACAAGTTTTAGGACTATTGTTGTTAAAAAAAAGAAAGAAATTTGCAAGAATGTAAAAAGAAAAAGAAACATTTCAGATTCTGCAGTTTTTCTAGATCACTAATCAAATGTAATGATCATGAACTCCTTTGTAAACATGGCAAGATGTTCTTGGTTTGATCAAATAAAATAATAATTATAATAATTATATAACAATAATGATTATTATTATTATTATTATTTGAATAAATTCATGAATATTTTTTCAGGTGTCCTAGCAGGTTGTTATGCTGAAATTATCATTTGAAATGTATTCAATTAAAAAAAACTGCAAAAAGGAAGCAGTTTCATGGTCTCTTTTGGATGTCAGTCTAGCTCGAGGATAACAAAAAAGCAGAAGAAAACCATTCAAGGCAAACCTCGCTGTGAAATACTGCAGAAATACAAATGATGACACATTCTTGAGCTTCATTATATCAGACACATAACAGATATTTGTGTTGTCAGCTCTTTTCAGAAGAAAAAAATAACCGAGGCAATCCAGCACAAGCATAAATATATGAGACGACTGTGGTAAAGAAAGAGAAAGCATGAGGGGAAGAGAGAGAGGGAGCTTAGCTTCACTAGTGTTTAATGTCTTTAGGAATAATTTACCTCTACAACTCCAACTATTTATACCATCACTCAGCTCCTCTGAGAGCATCCCCCTGTTTCTATTTTTCCTCATTCTTCTCTCTCTTTCTCTCTCCTTCTGTCTCCCTCCTTCTCTGTGTCTAGCTCCCAGCAGAGCTTTAATGGTTCTGAAGTGGCTGACAGAGTAGCTTAAGCCGGGTGAATAGGGCTGTTAATGGAGCCAGCTCCTCTCTCGGAGTGAGTGTCAGAGACTCGGCTCTCCTCAGCAGCTGCTCTGCTCTGTTTCCCACAGACTGCAGAGCTGCCCGCTACCCACACTACACCTCATCCAGATGCACAACAGGAGAAAGAGCTGTGTCACTCGCTACTCCAGTACATCAAAATGATGAGAAGATTGTAAAACAGTATGTGTTTTTCAACATAAAGACATCAGGGTTGGGCAAAATACAGAATTTAATCATCGTCTCACTTTCAGTTCATGAATGGGAATGTGATTTAAAATTTTAATATTATTTCATTATATGACTGTATTTTTGATCAAATAAATGCAGCCTTGGTGAACATATAAGAGACTTGTTTTAAAAACATTGCACAATCCTACCAACCCCCAACTTTTGAACAGTAGTATATATAGAAAATAAACAAAAACTTTTTGGATTACGTTAAATAATAAGAAAACCAAATATAATGCTTTTTTTTCATAAATACAGCCTTCAGACTAATCAGAATCAAGTATTCCAGAGAGCCATGTAATAACTCATGAATTTCTGTAAAAAAATGTTTTATATCTCTGCTTTTAAATCTAACATAAGATAATATATACTGTATGCTATGATATGACACATATGGGCTTTCAGAGATGAAGAAAGGATAAAATGGAGGGTAAAAGTTGAAGTTGGGAGGTTTGGCTCATTGTGTGGTGCATGTGAGTGGGGTCAGAGGTCAAGAGCGCACAAGGCAGATGTGAGACGTGAGAAAGGACCCACCTGTCCCAGAATGCAATGACGAGAAAATCAAAATATAATTGAACGCTGTAAAATAATCTCCAGATGAGATTGAGTTGAGATGTTTCTTACATAAATTCTGATTATACTGTTGTGTGGATGTAAATAATTTAGTACAAACAGGTAACTCCATGTAATTTTTGACAGTTTTGCCGAAAAAATAATTTAAACGCTCCAGTTAATACTTAAAAACGTTCAAGTTAGTTTATTACTTAGGCTTAATCTTGATTAAAAGTAATGGCAATGCAAGCCAACACCAGAAAAACTCATCATCTATTAACCATTTGGTCTAGACATGGAGCTCAAAAGGCCATGAAGGCATGTTTTTCTCTGTTGTGTCTAGGATATTCCTTTAGCCCTGCTTATGTAGAATTAATGAAGATACACTCTCTTGAAGATAACACATTAATCATAAAGCATGCTTTAAAAATTCATATAAAGCACCGGCTCCTATTTCACATGCAGAGCCAGAGCCACCTTCCCACATCACACCTGAACTTTAATGTCAAAACTTCGTTTAAACAGATTAAACGGCATTATGCGGCGGAGAACATCTTCGCCTCTTAAAACGAAAATACACAAGAAGCCTGTTCTGGCCCAATATCATTTACAATGGAGAGAGAGGCTGCATGCATCTCGACGATTCTTACAAATCCCCTTTAATCAGATATGAGAGGAACAGAGACGAGAGCGCGGGGGGAGGATGAGCATTAGTAAACACGAGGCTGTTCGGTGCTTCATTGGCATTCGAGTGGGGTTAGAGTGCTGCATTTAAAATGCTGCCTGATGAGGACTACAAAATCAAACCATTTGTTACCACTATTGAGGAGCCTGCAGGCAACAGGCAATTAAATTGGAATTAGTGCAGGGAGATCAGATACAGATGATTCACACACACAGAGAGGGGGAGCTGTCAAAGCCCAAGTTTCATTTCGTTTGGAGGGGACAAATACTTCAAGAGTAAACACATTTATCCCTCTGGCTTGCAAGCTCACCAGCCGCAGCGAATATAACTCTGCCATGATTCCGAACTGGATACGATTTACTAACATGGATTGTAAATACAAGAAACAAACATGCGTCTCAAGAACAGAATAAACACATCATCATTGGAATGACTGCGCTGGCTCCAAATCAAAGCTGCAGTGTAGCATTTTTACAGCACCAAAGGAGAAAATAATGTCCCCTGCCTGCCACAGTTCGGGCCTAAGGCGCTCTAATATACCTGGAATTGGCATTCCCATCATCTCAATGGCAGTTGCTCTGCTGGAGCATGTAGATTTGGATGTATATGGTTGGATTTCTGCCAGCTTTGCTTCAAGGGCATTTTGGAAGTTTGTTTTCAGTGAATCACCTGAGATGTAAATGTCATGTGATAGATAGCAGAATATTCTGTGTCTAAAAACCAAAATGTAAAACTATTTATTTATTAATTTATTTATTTTTGCCTGAATGACACAGTGATAAATAATCATTAGACTACTATGAAAATATGCATTTTATTATTTCCATAAAATTAGATTTTAAAATAACAATATTATAATAAAGAAATAACTAATATTTTTTTATGTTTATACACACTACTGAGAAAGTGTGGGATTGGTAAGGTTTTTTTTTTTTAATGTTTTTGAATTAAGTCTCTTATGCTCACCAAGGCTGCATTTATTTGATCCAAAAATATATTAAAAACAGAAATATTGTAAAATATTATTCAAATTTAAAACAACCAATCTCTCTTTGAATATATTATCAAATTTAATTTATATCTGTATAAATTGTCTTATATTTACGATTTAGTTTTCATCTAAATGATGCGTGCTAAGTGAGCGAACATCAATAAAGACCACACAAAATTGCGCACTCTCTCTCTCTCTCCCTACCATTAAGTAACTTGAGCATTGTTTTACTTACTTCTTTTTGACATATCCGACCAAACTACAAACTTTCCAGTGATGTCTGTGAGAAAGGGATATTCACTCGACAAGCTCGTGCATCTGCGCCGCCGCGCGCTCAATCCACTCAGCGTGATTTGCTAACCAGCTGGCGCAAATCAGCTATACAGGCATTGATACTGAATGTTTTATATTCATTGTATACATATACTTTGTAGACATCTTTAATCTCTAATAACTCCATTCTGCCAACTGTTGTCTGTATTTCTTTGTCTGAATATGGCACTTATCACATGCTGTGTGGTATCGGCGTTTGGTATCGGGGCATTTTAACGAGTATGAGTACGAGTACAGGAGACCAGTATCGGGCCCGATACCGATACCAGTATTGGTATCAGTATTGGTATCGGTGCATCCCTACTGTCCGGTATTGTACGTCTACCTCTCCTGCTACGTGTGTTTTCCTGGTTCCCTTGTGTTGGATGAATAAAGTCTCCTTACTGATGTACTCCCCGTCTACGAAGTAGCGAACGTGACAGAATACCGGACCAAGACAGAAAAGTAAGTGGCGCTCCTTCTCCCCGTTTTGTTTTCGTTTTAAAAGTCTTTTGTTTTCCCTTGTTTCCCCCCCTGCGATTATGGAAATCACCGCTAGATTCATTGCGCTAGCCCGTAGAGATCTCCCCTTCGTTGAGTATGCCAGAGAGTCTTGTGGTCTCGCCACGGCGACGGCTTTAGATGACGCCACCATCAACTCTTTGTTCTGGCACGTGGCCAATTATCATCGCCCCGTGGACCTCCCAGACACCACGGGACTAAGCTGGAGGGAAGGGATCCTCCGGTGTCTGGAGAGCGTCCGGCCCCATGCTGATGTCAAGCCCGCCGGCTGCAGCATTCTCTAGCCCGCCAGCCG